ATCTGTATCTGTATCTCTATCTCTGTGCCAGTAAACCGGTAAGGAACATAACATACCAGTACTTACCGGCTGCCTTAGGAACTGACTGTGATTTGAGACAGCACAGATAAAGATATACGTCTACTCTTATCTATAGGCATAGTGAATCTTTAACTTGTTCAAGCTATGACTGAAGACAACTGTAGACATACAGTGCAACTGAAGTTACGGGCTCTGAATAACACATGGTTATCTTGCGGGATTCGAACCAACAACCCTGTGATCCAAAAGTGGGATATAGCCGACCGATATAGCACAGCGCTTGGCCTTTACTGCGCAGTTTTATGTCTTCCTCACTGAGTGCCCGAACTCTAACTCTGCACTAAATTCACAGTCAATCCCCCAAAATGGACCAAGCAGAAAGGACAACACAGCATGCCGTTCAATTTTACCTAACAGCTCCCTTGAGGCCCATCTTTTACTTGAAATACTGCTTCACTAAAGAAAGCCGACATCAATGAAAACGCAGCATTAGAAGATGCAAAAACACATAACTTGGCGGGGCACGGTTTCTTTTGATGAATGCAAAACTAGGAATCTAATATGCATAACTAACATTCATGTTTTACAGATGAGCAATCAAATACAAGTCAATTTGCACTGGGAAGTGCCCTGAGGGGTGATGAGAACTGTAATTCTTACAGCATTGAAGTCACCAGGGATAGATGTGAGAATTGTGTCTGGGAGGAAGTAGACAAGCTTCTAAAGATAAACTCTATCTTTATATTGATACAGGTCTAAATATAACATGCCCTCTCCTACCCCCCCCCCCACACACACACACATGAAGCAAACAACAGCTTGCAACAATGTGAAATAATCTATATAAAAACTTCATACAAAACTTGAGATGATGAAAGTAACAATGTGTCCTTATTGAAATGCCAGTACGCAAAGTTCTAAATATAATAACATATTTACTGCAGTCATGTATTAATGTTATACTTTTGATTGCAAAAAGCAGACAATATTTCTTTTGAATTTGCATGTATGGTACATGTACGTAGGTTCAATATTCTAAACATGAATATGCATATATCATAACATCCTACTGTCAGATTAAACTGCGACAGTATTTTCTACAAAAGATGCAAATATTGCTAATACTGTTTCCACTTCTCCTTTTTCATTAGACAAAGCTACTGGTTCCATACAATTTTTTACATTTATTGGTGGGTGTAACAGGAGAGATTTTGTAGACTGTACCACACAGGAGTCCTGTTTCCTTCACTGCTTCGTCACAAAGCGAGGGGCACTAACAGTGATGGAGACCGACTAAAATTGCGTTCGTGAAAAGATTTTATGTCAAACCCAATTTACAGGTGAACAAATAGATCCAATAGCCAGATGGTATCGCTCCCACTGCAAAATCCGTAAAAACTTAAAACTTTCGTCATTTTCTTTTCTCAATAGTACACATGAAAGATTTACTGGGGGGTAATTTTTACAACAAAACGGTGTAGAACGCAGCTGCCTTGTGCCTTGCCGGTGCGCAGGCTGTGTAAAATTGGCTACGGAACACAAAATACATAAAATATACAACAGCACGGCATCCGTTACATGTTGCATGGCAGAATTTTTGCTGATCTCAAAAGCCTTTATTTCAGAACACTTCTCACAAAGACACATGACTGCTAGAGCTTACGATAAGAAAAATCTCTCTCTACTAGGTAACCACTACCAAAGGACTCAAATTACACTTGGGATCCTTTCACAGAAATAAGCCAGCGCCCGAGTTACTCCTGCTCCCATCTTCAGTAATAGGGCCGACTTCCTTCGTTTTGTCCCAGTGCATCTCAGGATTACCGCATGTTACCAGCAGGGGTGAAGATATATTTCCCCATTTCTCGCTGACAGCGCCTGCCCACCAAGCATTACTCCCAGTCAGCCGTACAAAGGCCCAGTCCTTGCGATCTGGCAGTTTTTCATTGACCCGGTGCCTCCAGCCCTGCGCTGTATGGGATAAAAACCCAGCCAAGTCTGAAACAACCATCTGTTCGCTGGGACTAATTAACGCCTCGGTGGAAACCTCCAATTGCTACAGCAATCCATGCAATTCCAACTGCAATTTCTACCCGTGTGATCAGCATTAGTCCAATATATCATATCTTTCATCTGTGAAATGATTTTCTCAAAATGTCCCTGTCTGGCATGGAAATGTACACATCACACAATCGTTCAGGGTACAACGTGAGGCAAATATACTAATTCATCCTCTCCTTGACGCTTTCGTTCAAAGAAAAGCCAGCAGAAAAGAATATCTGCTGTATCTGTGCATAAAACCGTCCTATCGCTCCCAATATGTCCGATGCAATTCAGGCATTAGTTATTCATCCGGCCCTGAGAAATTGGCCTCATTTAATTTATTTACCGTGCGGCAGCAAAGCAACGTCAGGATGCATTGGGACGGCCCGCTAGCCAGGCAACACAAGACAGCCCTGGAACAATGTAGCATCAGCAAACTAAAGCCTCTACAAACCCTCGCTTAACACTGGAGAAAATTCACAGATCTGCCACGTAGACTGACCTGCACAGGGCATCATTGATCTTATAGGCACATCTGTGTGTAGGGATATTTTCAAACCTCCAATCTAAGAGCTATCTTATGAAAATGAAAGGATCCAGGAATGCTTTAGAAGTCACAATGGTTCTGGGGTACAATACCTAGCCTTGTGGTAACTATGCTGTGTAATCTTGAATACAAGCAGGACTGTGGGATCCTTCAAGGTAAATATTTGGGTGTTCAGGAGAGAAACCACGCAGTCGAAAAATCATTAACCTGGCATGACAATAGCTTCTCCATTCTCGCTAAGCGTTGGAACGCCAAACGAGAGCAAATGTCAAGAATATGGATTTAAAAAAACTCAACTCTAGTGTTTTTAATCTCCGAAAAATGCATCTATATTCAATAAACCTAGCATTATATCATGTAAATGAATTGAGACCTTATGGCTTTTTTTTACCAACTGGGACCAGAAATTTGGAAAATCAAAGGCACGTTCTCAACCCTTCCCTGACCCTACAATCTCTCATCTCAAAAGCATGAAAACAGGGATTATTCTGAGGGCTTTTCTTCAGGAGCCTTTTGTGAACAGCCCAATGATTATAGATGGGGTGTTTCCAGGGTGGGGTCTTCACACTAAAGGCGTGACAAACTGAAACTGTTCAGCTCCAGGGACAGACTTCACAATTTGTCGCTATCTCATTTTCACACAACTGTCAACCACAGGCCCATATCTGGTTTAGCACCCCTACTATAGTAAACAACAATTTCCCTAAATAACGCACACAATCCTTCCAAGCCCAAACAACAGTCCAAAAAATAAATCAATATTTAGGGACGATCAGTTTGGCTTATAACACAAGCATTTGCAAATTTGTCAGCAGCCTTACGACTACATAAATTAATGTATTTAACAGATATTAATATCATATTATATAATATTGTTGTCAGTGCTAGTGCTATGCACTAAATCTACTATGATTAAGTGTACCTGAATATAGTCTCAAAGTCAAAGGATAAAATCTCAAATTTTTATTAATTTCTGTGGGAGTGTTTATCAGTCCTTGTTAAGCTGTGGAGAAAATGAGAAAGACAGGATTTGACACCTAACTGGAAAGGCATCAGCACATGAGTGAAGACCAACAACAAATTTAGTTTAGTGTGCATATACATGATTACTCCAACCACTGGCTATCTTCTTGTTCCATCTGTTAGCATGAGGTAGATTACATTACACGATAGCATTCAACGATTTACCAACATATATATAATGTATCTGACGCATGATAATTATACGAAAGGAACAACCCTACTCGTAGTGCAAAACTAGAAAAGTAGCCAATGTATTGCTTTCTAAACTATGACAGGCACTAGAAAACAATTAGTTGCATACAATTTGCTAAGGATGAGGAAAATTTCAGAATGCAAGTCACTTTTTCTTTGTGACATACTGAAAATTTATTATTTAGCCATTTTTTTTCTCTTCTTTTTTTCTTGCTATGTTCCCAAGGACAGAAAAAGTGACCTCGGCAACATAATGACACCAAGGTCATCCTAATTGGATAATATGTATTGTTCGAAAGTAACCTTTCTAGTTTGCGTAATGTTAACTTAAAAGCTGTCCGACAACCTAGAACAAAAGAACTGTTGTCCAAGAAAAATCGGATTTGTTACGAGCGATGGTGCATATGGGAAACGTAAACGAAAGCTGTAGTTTATTCGTAAACTCAAGATTTGTAGTTTTTACCAATACTTAATCATTTAATGTTTACGTAAACATTTCCTGTTACATACACCTGTAATGCACACATTTGCATACAAAATCTATTTTGGCAACATGTACAAACACTATGATCCTATAAAAATGGTTCAAATGCTATGATAATCAGTAAAAAAACACTTCAAACAATTTCAAGTGTGAACCTGGAAGCGTGCCATTTAAAACGTCAATGCCAACCATTGATTGGCATATGTCAATCACCCCACAGTTAAGTACATGTAAACACCCTCTCCCAGAAGGACCAAAATCCTTAACAAATCTCTGCCTTCCTGTTTCTGCCCAGGGCACGGGCTTAACGGAATTTTGCAGACGTAGGATGGACTTGTGTACAAACATTTCACCTCGCGTCTCCTTGTGGAAAAGGGGAGTTTTTAATTTAAGGCGAGATAGGGGGACATCTCTGCTACAGATGCACACATGTCTCTTGTTTCCAACCGGCTAGAAGAGGAGCTTAGGAGTTGCAAGAAAAGGACGAGGCTTGTGGCCCGAGGGCTGGAGGGTGGCGACTTCGGGGACAAGGACAGTGCCCTCGGGACAGTGCAAGAGGCCAGCTTTGGGACCGGCCAGTTTGCAGACGACTCTACAAAATGCATCGGTCACACCAACGTGTGTCGTGCCTAACGATTTAAGAGAGAGAGAGGAGAGAGAGAGCAGCGAGCTTCGCTACCGTGTGCTTACCTCAGCTGAAGTCGACGACAGGGAACACGCAGGGATGGTGTGAGGAGTGGCACAGGGCGGCACGGGTCCTCGGGGGCGGAGGGTGGAAGGGCTCGGGGGGAAAACAGAACGGGAATCGGGGAGAAGAAGCCACACACAGCAGTAGGACCTCCGCTCTGCAGGCTAGCCTTGATCCGTCTCTTCACTCGGGGTGGCACAAATAGTTCTGGCACCATCACAGGTCAACCCGGGAGATCACTCCGCTTCTCATTCCGCCCCTTTTCATAATCCTAAACATTCTCGTACGTTATCACAAGGTTTACTCTAGAATAGACTATTTAGTAGGTTTATTCATTACCTAAATGTTGTAGATTTTGGGTAAATTTTATCAGATCTATTTTCTGCAATGTAAACATGCGCAGGGATCGCGCGCCGTGACGCTACGTAAGCAGGTCGCACAGTACGCGTGCGCAATAGAATTAGGCCACGGAGGCGCGAGATTTCTGTTTCTGCTTTTGTTATTTTCAGGGCTGGACGCGTTTAAAGAATTGGGTTATGTTTACAGAAACGTTTAGACGCCGCATTACTAGAATGTCCGCACTGCACCAAGTTGAAGAATAAAACCGTGATCCATAAAAGCGGTATGTTGTTATGACAGGTGGCGGCGGTGCCCAAAAGAGTCGCTAGTAAAAACCCAGCAGGTGGTATGGTGACCCCAGTGCCGTTGGCCTTTACCGCTATGGGCGAGGCTTGTCGATTAAAATCTTTCAGCGCGATAAAAAGTTAAAGATCTGGAACAGAACTTCATACCCACAATTAGTTTTAGAGTAGAATGGGCCGCATAAACTTTTACTTTAATACCAAAATCACGCCCTGTTTTTGATACTAGTTAGATAAAATGAACATAATTTGGAACTGCTCTGTGTTTTCGAGTTTCTTCAAACTATAGAGCAAAGCAGGGTCAAACAGTGCAATATCACGAACTTGAAAGAAATAAAGCTGATCAATCATTCCAATTTATAATAGCAATTAAAACAGTGTTAACTAGCTACCAAGGAGCTTTATACTGTAAGAGCCCATGTGTAGAGTCAGTGTCAAGCGCTTTGTCATTTACACAAGTGAGTATGAGTTGAAACGATTGTAAAAGGAAAAACGGTCAAGCTGGGAGCCGAACTCTGTGCTGAGATAGCGACAACTTCACTCGAGATGACACCAGATATGATATTTAAAGCGTCCTTGCTGTATCATAAACCCACAGAAGTAACGTTTTAGCCTAACGCGTTCGTCTGAGTCTGGAAGTGGTACAAATGGCACAGTCACGACCTCTTCTTTAAAAGCTTTTTACCCGAGCCGTGATGTGGGGCAGGCGGACAGATGGGCCGGATCGAACCGCTGCTGAAAGGATCGATCCCCGTTGAAATAAAGGTTACATTCGGACATATGCTGTGAGATACGAGTATAAAGCACCGAACGATCCATTGCAAACCTACGAACGATAGGCCCCACCATAGGCCCAAAATCAGCCATTTTTCTTATCATGTATCCCCACTTTGGGTACCACCAATGGATCAAAGGATTTCCTAACTTTTGTCTGAATCGCAAAAGCGGGAAATTGTTAGCCTCCTTAGTGCAGGCCTCCGGATCCGGGTGGGACTGGTTTTGATTCTGCGTATTTTGTAGAATTTGTAACGCGTTCTTTTGCCGGTCATCGAACAGAAAATCGCCCATAGAAGGTTTGTACCCGCCACGGTAAAAAAATTCTACTAAACGCAGTATCAAAACTACCACCCGCCCGGAGGCCTGCACAGGAGGCTAGAAATTGTCGGGCTTCTTGGTAAGAGTCTCTAAGATTAGCCAGGCCAAAGTATTGATCTCCTCGCCCTACTCTCAGGCTCAGAGTCTCTCGACACACCGGGTTTTTCTCTCCTCTTCCCGTCCCCAATATACCTTTGGCTCTCTGGGGGTGAGGTCGGGAGGAAACAGACGGCATCCATCTTGCAAAAGGTTAAACGTCCGCGTTCGGACATGGAAAAATCGACCGTCGGGCACCGAGGAGAGCCTCTCACTGACACCTGGTGATCTGACGATCGATAGCCGGACAAAAGGGATCGGTCCAGGTGCCGTATCGGCCTGTGCGCGACCGGGGACCGTGTCATTCATGTTATATGACCGCCGCGTCGCCGCGTCAGGTTTTTCCTTCCGATGTAACTGATTTTCTATTACCTATAGGTCCAGGCAAGGCCAAATGCGACAGCTGGTCCGGCGCTCTTTCATTACTTTTCAAAGAAACGCACATGAAACCAAAGGATGAGTGCTTCGTTGTCGGTGAGAACACAAAAACATACTGTACAGCTTGAAACCTATGAGCAAATCGACGTGCGTTTTTTATCATTACAAACTTTACAATAAGCACTGAGTAGATATAGGACTGGTCGTAAACATGAAATATGGCTGAAATAAAGAAGTATATGTAAATAGAGACTCACATGAGCGCCGATGTTGCTTTACCGTCCTATACCACGTGCATCATCCATTTATCAAATGTACAACTATTTTTTACAACAATTCCGGTCCTATCGTGCGAAAATCTCAATCGATACCATCTGCGGACAAATGCCCCAAAGCCAGGTCTAATCTATAGTCAACCGGATTTTATGCTATCTTAATTCCTTTTTACTGAAATGGGCGCCATTTTGGTCTGAGCTAATCATCGATTCTTGATAATGACTTCTGTGCATGTAAACATCGTCACCCACTGTGAGAAAGGAACAATATCCTAAAAATGTAAGATTTTCTCAATTCCTACCATAATCTGACTAGTCTAGCTCATAGCTGTCAATTTGAACATGGCTCTAATGATATATCTAAATTATACATACAACGTTTTTTTTATACAAAATATACATAAAGTATCAATCTAAATATCAATTGCAGTGCCTTCCCGGCTTATTGTTATTACTGAGATAGGAGCAGACATCTATATTTATTCGAGCGACGTTTGTCTTGGTTAAGATTTAAGATCCCTTTTAAGATCAACTATTGGCGTGCTGGAGGTATTAGATTTTCTTTTTTGGGCATATAATTTATCCTTTTCAGTCGGATGGGAAGCAGTGTAAATGCTACGGTGGCGACGTTGTGCTCAAGAGATATATCGATTTTCACCGGGGCATTTTGCGAAATAACAGTCTAAACCGTCTGCCTGGGGTATCTAATATTACCGTAGTGATCGATAAGAATATTTCTTGGTGTAAACACTGGATCTAAATGGGGGATAAGGCATATTTAGAGGTCACAATTATCGTAAATTTGGGTCATAGGTTACCCATATATATATTCCCAAGCTTACGGAACAAAACCATGATGGTAGTTTTGTTGAGCGCATGCTACGGCTGTTGCTATTTTCGTCGGTTCGAGACAATTGCAGCATTTTACTTATATAACAACGTAACATAAATATTTGCAGAAACCCTTTCCCCGGCACTTGAGGCAATGGCGTTCAAAATACAGTTGAGTAACTATCCACAGTTTTTTTTTCGAATCGTAGCATCTGTTCAGATTCACAGAAAAACAACGCGGGATTATTATTTTACTCCTCAGCTATCATTATCGACCACCCATGCCTCCAGGCACTGCCAGTTATTCCCTTGCCTTTTCCTGTCTTTTTTATCGTGATTGCCCAATGGGTATGGTTACGTAACTCAGCCTATGGGTACAAGGTTGCCAACGTTGGTTGTTGGTTTTATGTTTACCGAAAGAAAACATATTGTTTTTCCTCTGTTTCCTCCTCCTCCTCTTCTTCTTCTCCAAACTAATAAGGTCAATGACCTGAACAAGACGTCTGTCACCATGGTAACTAATGTTGGGCTACATCACGTTGCAATTTTACAGCAGGAAGGATTTAGTCTCACCATATAAGAAAGAATTAACAGAGCAGACCATATGTGAAGGTAAACATTATGCATTTGCTTTGCAAATGTTACCTTTCTAATTCTAGTTTAGTTTATATCGACCATATGTTACAACTCGAAATACAAAGATGGCTAAATGTTTGAGTAAAAACCAGGACATAATTCCGGAAATTGACATAATGTATACATAATTGGAAGAGTAAACAATAATAGCCCTATTCTGCCACAGTAATTGTCTCGCGTTCCCATTTTTTGTTCTAATGACGTCAATCTAAAGTCAAGGCCTCTGGGGTTGGAATATATATTATCTCTGCCGTTTGTTAAAACAACTAACGTTAGTGCTCAAATACATTGTAACTCATGTTCTTATCTATGAATAATCGCCCAGTTGTAATACAAATCTCCAAGAACCATTGTGTTCGTTATTTTTTTTCTCTCGACTCTTGAGTATGTGATTTCTATGAGCATGCACATTGCGTAAATGTATATCATTTATTGCTCTTGACACGAGAAAACGTTTATTTTCCATGTGTACAGAATATGTGATGACTTATGTAAATTGGTCAATATCATAATCATAAGTCACACAACATAGTTTTCATACGACTCCAGCGTGTACGAAACAGATTGTCGATCCTAACATTTAATATTTCAGTTGGACGATTTAGTGAGGTAGATTTCGTCTTTATGGTGTAATTCGTCTTTAACACAATTTTGGAAAGGTCCAGAGAGCGAACGTAATGTATGATTATTTCTACCACAACGCCACTGAAGACCTATTATGTAGGGTTTATTATACAGCAATATGCCCCAAGGGTAGAAATACGTCTGGAGCTATACTAGGTATCTGTTAGCTGCTAGGATTTATTTTGGCAAGAAGAAAGATAAATTGCTAGTTAGGGTATGGACAAATTTCTTTAAAGATTGCTTAGGAAGATTCTGCTGACATAGATGGATGACATTTCGGTTACAGTAACTTAGGTATATTCCACGTTAAAATACGCCCAAACAAGGGATACTGTTATACGTATAAAGTTATAAAGTTTGATCTTGATACAATTTTTTTGTTAATTTGAAGTTTTCTTGGTGCCCCTAATTCATTTTTTTTGCGATAACAGTTTTCTGTATCTGTATAGCCGACATAGCCGCCCTTTGGCGTAACACACCAGCTTCGCAGGCACGCGGCGCGGCGGCAGCTGGTTACATTACACCGAACGACTTGTTACACGTAGCCTTTGAACACCTAACCCTAAACATTGCTCAGAGCTGTCAGGCTTATCAAAATGCATATCTAATGCGGTGTGTTAAAC